ATTGACATAACTTTTATTACAGCATATTGTTATAACTGTTCTATTTTATTTTTAGTTATTGTTAATCCTTTACGTAATTTATAAATTAAGATTTTTCATAAGTATGTAATGTATGTATAGGAGAAAACATAGTATATGTGTGTTTTGGTATCCACAGTTGCAGGCGTTCACTGGGGGTCCTGGAACGTCTCCCCCGAGAATAAAGGGGAACTACTATATCCCAAACATTGGTTTTTCATCCCTCTGCCCCATTAGAACATAAACTCCTGAAGAACAAATACTGGACCTTGTTCATGTTTGTGTTTCAATAATATAAACAATTTGGGTGACTAGTAAACTTGGAAAACAATTATTGAGCTAATTAATCAATCTCTAGAGCAGGTTATTTCATACCTGAGAAGTCACAGGCCAGTGTAGAGCACTGCTGCTCTCTATACCCAGTGTGGGAAATACTACCTTAAAGTTACATAGCATCACTTTAAATGATCAGTGAGCATTAATCGTTCAAAAATAAAAACACAGGGCCTAGTGTGGTGGCTTACACCTGTAATCCTAGCACTTTGGGAGGCCAAGCTGGGAGAATCACTTGAGACCAGGAGTTTGAGATCAGCCTGAGCAACATAGCGAAACCCCATCTCTACAAAAATACAATTTAAAAATTAGCCGGGAGTGGTGGCATGTGTCTGTCTGTGGTCCCAGCCTACTTGGGAGGCTGAGGTGGGAGGATAACTTGCCCTGTGAGATCCAGGCTGCAGTGAGCGGTGACCATGTCTGTGCTCTAGCCTGGGTGACAGAGCAAAACTCTGCCTCCAAAAAATAAAAATAAAAAACACAGAAGCTGAAACTGAATAGTAGTACTGGGACATAAAGAAGTCACCTAGATAATCATGAACAAGTCTATGGGTTTAAAAAAATTATCCAAATACATTATTCAAGTATTTGAATATTAATTTGACATCCAATTATTATACAAATAAACACAATTTTAAAATATTCTCATTTATATTGCATATCCTTTAAAAACATAGCTGTGGATTTCAGTTTGAGAAGCAGAGTCATTTACTATTTTTCTTAGGAGTCATATGCCTCTTATCCCAGAAAACTGCAATTTTGCAACATATATGTGAACGTGGTTTCATAAACGCCTCAAACCCATCATCAACCTCAAGTTAACTCTCACTTTAATGAAATTTCCTAAAATGCCTTCATCTGCAGCTTACTCTGGGAGGTCGGGCTAATTTAAATACTGTAAAACACTTGCCTTTCATCCAAAACAGAATCATTGCATGGCCAAGGAACCCTTAGGCAGCATGCCAGTCAGTTTAATAGCCCCTTCAATTTTACTAAACGACCTATGACTATCTGAAAGATTACCTCCAAGGCTGAAAACCCTGTGAGGAATTTTTTGTGCCAGGCCCAGGTGTAGTGGACCTTTGCCTTGAGTTTAACCCCGCTTCTCTGCAAAAACTTCCAAAGACATACAAAGCTCAACGTTCCTTGTTGCAGCTGTCCATCAGCACTCACCTTCAGGCCACATGAGGTCTAAATGAGAAACACAAAAGCTGAACAGTCTCTGGGGTAGCAAGTATGGAGAACTGTAAGAGTTTTCTCCCATGCTGTTAGAATGCCATTTTTTTTCTGAGACAGAGTCTTGCTCTGTCACCCAGACTTGGAGTGCAGTAGTACGATCTAGGCTCACTGCAACCTCCACCTCCCAGGTTCAAGCGATTCTCCTGCCTCAGCCTCCCGAGTAGCTGGGACTACAGGCACGCACCACCATGCCCAGCTAATTTTTGTATTTTTAGTAGAGACAGGGTTTCACCATGTTGGTCAGGCTGGTCTTGAACTCCTGACCTTGGAATTCACCCACCTCAGCCTCCCAAAGCACTGGGATTACAGGCGTGAGCCACTGCCCCTGGCTGGAATGCTTTTTAAGACATGGGATTACCCTTGGGATTCTCTACAGGCACAGCATCAGCACCTCTTGGCTGGTTTTCAAGGCCCACTTTTTCAAATAAATTACTTAGAAATAATTTAGAAATAATTTAGAAATAATTTCTTAGTAAGAAAAAGCAAAATTCCCTCCTAGAAGAGTTACCAGAGGAGAGTTCAAAACAAATCCTGGGTCTACTTGAAAAAAACGCAACCAAAAATGTGAAGGACTATTCTGACAGTTAACATGGAGCTAATTACAGCATGTTTCAAAAGGGGAATCCTCATTTTACACAAATAATTTTCACAAATAAAATTACTCCTAAGACTTCAATTTGGAGCCGCTATGTGATAAAATACTCCTTCTTTACGTTAAATGCTGTAGGTGTGGCACTGAGTTGTAATTCTACAACAGTGGTAAGATGACCTTGTAAAATCAGCTATACTGCTGCAGTATGTGTGCTTAGGTTTTTAGGGTTCCGTGTGTCTTTGATTGTGGAATAAAAATCTGAATTATTAATCCTTTCAATTTTTCTTTTAAGCAGAATTTCCTCATGTGTCATCATCCTATATATACAAATGTGATCAGATAAACTGAGCTAACTGTAACTTCGCCAGATTGTACAAATGATACCAAACATAATTTTACCGTATTATCATCAAACTTTATGGCAGGAGGTAAAAAGCACATAAGATAAATGCTCAGTCTACTGTTTTCCACTGAACTGATTAAGAGACAAGATCAAATACACCTGATGAAGAAGGTAATTTATGCCAGGAAGAATGTAAATTCCAAGCTTCTTTTAAAATTATTTTCAATGTATTTCACAAGTGCATATTGACTAATGTTAAGTTAGTATTCTTAAAGTTTAAAAAACATGGTCATAGATATTCCTGTTGGAAACTGCTTGCTACAATTGGCCTGACCCATATATCTATCTGGAACTATGCTCTTCGTACATATTTATATGTGGTTATATGTTTTTGCTATTTTGAAGGAAACTACATCAGAAGAATAGAAAGTGGTACATGTAGGCTGGGCGCAGTGGTTCACGCCTGTAATCCCAGCACTTTGGGAGGCCAAGGCAGGCACATCACAAGGTCAGGAGATTCAGACCATCCTGGCTAACACCGTGAAATCCCGTCTCTAATAAAAATACAAAAAATTAGTTGGGCATAGTGGCATGTGCCTGTAATCCCAGCTACTCAAGAGGCTGAGGCAGGAGAATCACTTAAACCGGGGGAGGCAGAGATTGCAGTGAGCCAAGATCACACTACTGCACTCCAGCCTGGGCAACGGAGCGAGACTCTGTCTCAAAAAAAAAAAAAAAAGAAAAAGAAAAAGAAAGAAAGAAAGAAAAAAGAAAAGAAAATGGTACATGTATATGTAAATGTTAAAAGAAAGCAAAATTGAGTGAAAAGAATGGATACATAAAGGAAAAAATGTGGAAAGGCAAGAAAAAGGGAGAAATTAAAGTGCAAAACATCAGAAAGTGACATAAACAAGAATTCATGCTAAATGTATCTTCCTTCAGGCTGCTATAAACGATTAACATAGGCTGGAAAATTAACATAAGCAACACACATTTATTTTTTGCAGTTCCGGAGGGTGGTAGGTCCAAGATCAAGGCCCCTAAAGATCCTGTGTCTGGTGAGGACCTGCTTCCTGGCTTGCAGACGGAGAGAGAGGGAAATTTATTAGGGGAATCGATCCATGTGATTATGGAGACTAAAGAAGTCCCACAATAGGTTTCCTACAAGCTGGAGAACCAGGGAAGCAGGAAGCATGGCTCAGTTCAAATCTGAAGGCCTGAGAACCAGGGAGACTAATGGTATAATTCGTAGTTTGAGACAGAGAAGTCCTGAGAATACAAGCCCTAAAGGTGGGAGAACCTGGAATTCTGCTGTCCGAGGGCAGGAGAAGTAGGTGTCCCAGCTCCAGGAGAGAGAGAGATGAATTCAGCTTCCCTCTGCCTTTCTGTTCTACCTGGGTCCTTAGCAGACTGGATGATGCCCACCCACATTGGTGAGGGCAGTTCTTCCTTACTCAGTCCTTTGATTCAAAGACCAGTCCCTTCTGGAAACATCTCTCAAACATGATGCCCAGAAATAATACTTTACCAGCTCTCTGGATAACTCTTAACCCAGTCAAGTTGACACCTAAAATTAACCATCACAAACATACAAATAAATACATCCATAAAGGTGAAATACGAATTAATTCCATAAAAGGTGCTGGTGTACTTACAGTCAATGTTAACAGTGGGAGAGGCTGGGGGGAAGAGTTCAGAAGACCTTCCTATTCATTTATTTAGAAAACCTCCTGAGAATCTATAATCATTTAAAAAAATATGAAAAACTTAATAAAATGATTTTCTAAGTATTATCATAAGCTAATCATTTTAAGCACACCTTTATGGATTCTACAGACATAATTCTCTTAGGTATTTCTTTTTCAACTAATTCACATTTTACACACACAAAATTCAAGGAGGTGACACTGTGCTTTAAGAAAAAGGACATTCATGTGCATTTTAATGAAGTTTACAAGACTGAGATATGTCTTCCATATTTTAATGCTTTGTTTTTTTTTCAGATGACAAGTGATGTTCACAATTACAAAAATAATCATACAGCTCTTACTCTAATTATTTTTATCAGAAAAAAGAAATCAGAAGTGGAAAACCAACCATCAGAGGTCAGAAAACCTGCGGCTGACATTTTCAGTAGGAAGACCTATTCAAGTGGTTGGAGTCATCTTTCTAAGTCTACTAAGCAGAATCTGTATTCACTGTTGTGAAGCTCACTTAACCTAACTGGTAAAATTTGAGTGTTAAAGGAACTTTGGTCACCTACTAGTTCAATGAAATTTAACATCATATTTTTTTTTTTTTTTTTTTTTTAGACGGAGTTTCGCTCTTGTTACCCAGGCTGGAGTGCAATGGCGCGATCTCGGCTCACCGCAACCTCCGCCTCCTGGGTTCAGGCAATTCTCCTGCCTCAACCTCCTGAGTAGCTGGGACTACAGGCACGCACCACCATGCCCAGCTAATTTTTTGTAGTTTTAGTAGAGACGGGGTTTCACCATGTTGACCAGGATGGTCTCGATCTCTTGACCTCGTGATCCACCCGCCTCGGCCTCCCAAAGTGCTGGGATTACAGGCTTGAGCCACCGCGCCCGGCTTAACATCATATTTTTAAACGGTCCTAAGTCCAACTGTGCAGTGTGATGAGAGACTCTTTAGACAGATTAGAGCATCAGAATAGAAAGACCCAAAATAGACTCAAGTGCTACATGAGCACATAGCAGAAGACAAAATGCATATCTGTACAGATTTGTTGGATTGCTTAATAAATGGTGTTGGGATATGTTTACCTTTAAGATATAAAAAGAAAACAAAAGGTAGCTGTCCCCCACCTTCCTGCAGGCATGGGGACCATGGCAATTCTGCTCCATGCAGAGAAAGCAAGTAGCAGGGCTAGGCAGGGGCCACAATAACATGAGGGCTCATAATTTTGGAGGCTTTTAAGCGAAATCTCTATTTTTATATGAAATCTTCCAAATTTTAGTTGTTGGCAACCATGTCAAATATTTTTAAAACAGAGTGTGAAATGAGCTGTATTTAGTTTCCCAGGGCTGCCATAGGGGATGACCAAAAACTAGGTGGCTTCAAACAGGAGAAACGTATTCTCTTATGGTCTGTAGTCAGGAAGTCGGAAGTCAAGGTATTGGCAGGGTTGGTTTCTCCTGGAGACTGGGGGAATATCTGTTACCTGCTTCTCTCCTAGCTTCTCGTGGTTGCCAGGAGCCCCAGCTTGTAGATGCATCATTCCATCTCTGCCTCCTTCATCCTGTGGCATTCTCCTTTCTGTGTCACCTGTGTCCAAATTTCCCTCTTATGAAGACACTGGTCCTTGGATTACGGCCCAGCCTATTCCAGTATGACCTCATTTTAACTTGATTACACCTGCAAAGACCTTATTTCCAAATAAGGTCACATTCACAAGTACCAAGGGTTAGGCACTAAACATATTCTTTTGGGGCACACAAACACACTACATAAGCAGAACAATCCGCAGGCTCAATCTGATCTAGGCTACCAGTTTATATTATCTGTTTGGTGGCAAAATAAATTCCAAATAGGTTAACATCGTTTGTATTAACAAGCATTAGAAAAATATTTAGCTAAATACTTGTACACTCAAGGAATACAAAAGGACTTTATAAGCATAACTTCAACATGTCAAATTTATTCAGAAGAAAGATTGATAAATTTGACAGATTTAACCACAAAAATATAAATATTTCTCTACTTTTTAAAAAATGAGTAAAGTAAAAATACAGACCAAAACTAACAATGTGAGAAAAGGTTAAATATAGTCTGTACACACACAATTAGACTTTCTTTCTATTAATTTAGAGCCCTCAAAAGAAAGATTGGCATAGGACCACAATAAAAAATTTACAAAAGAGCAAAGACAAATATTCCGCAGCTATGTGAAAACATGTTTAATGTGAGTAGTCATCAATGTGCCGCAAACGTGACAGCAATAACAAACCTTTTTCTCCCCATAAAATTGATGAAAATTAAAAATAAATCAACAAACAGATTCCCAGTGATAGCAAGAAGGTGGGGAGATAAAGGGACCATCATCATACACTGCCAGTGACATTTAAAATTATCTAATCTTTCTAGGGCCAATTTACCATCTGGTATCAAAAACCTTAAAAATGTTCATCCTCTCTAACCAATGCAATTTTTCTTCTACACATATACCCTAAGTAAATAAGTGAGGAAGAAAAACGTTTGAACAAGGCTATTCATCTGTATTAACTTGGGCTACCATAACAAAATAGCAGGGACTACGTGGCTTATAAACAGCAGACATTTATTTTCTTACAGCTCTGAAGGCTGGAAGTCTGAGATCGGGGTGCCAGCATGGCTGACTTCCAGTGAGGGCTCTCCTTCTGGCTTGCAGATGGCAGCCTTCTCATCCTGTGTTCTCATGGTAGAGAGAGAGTCTTCCTCTTCTTATAAGACCACAGTCCTGTTGGATTAGCATACAGTATACCAGACACTTTTCTAGGAAAGAGAATAGAGCAGATAATAAAATTAGAAAGACAATCCCTGCCCCCAAAGTGAGTTCATTTTAGGAGGGGGACAGATTGTGTACATGATGACATTTCTGTTATTTAAAAATAAAAGGGTAAACACATAGAAAAGCGCACACACACACATCATATTTATATAAAAATTGGAAAGAACAACCACTAAGATGTTAACTCTCTCCCCTGGTTGGTGAGATTATAGATATTTTCTTTAGTAAATTTGTATTTTTATGGATTCTTTTTGAAATAAAGAAAAATGAATTAATAGTTTTAAAACAGAGAAATACATTTCTGTATCTCCTTTCCCTTTTTATACAATAGGGGAAAGCACAGTTCTAACATTTACTCCAACTTTATTTCAAAATTGTACTATCACTAGAAATGACAGAATTTCCTACCAGAGAAGCACACACTTTAGGGACTTATCCCATTGACCAGTTTTAACTCATATAAAGTCACTGCACACAGACTGGTATAACTAATAAGAAGCAGATAGCTGGGAATAGGTAAATCTTTCTTCCAAGAATAGAATTCAATTTGTGGTAATGACTGTGTGTTTTCACTGGCCCACAAAAAGCCATGAGGTTACCTTTGGTACTTGAGGTCTTTGATTTAGAGGCAGTTCTATGCCTATTTTTCCCAAGGGGGAAAGGGAATGCTATTTTGGCAAAGACTGTGAAAATGAAGAACGTTGATTGTTAGGAGCAGATAAATCAATAAAGAAAACTATAGAAGAGAAGTTAAGAGTGCAAAGTAAAGAGAAGGCTATTAATGAAAGGTATCAAATATAGAAGTATGTGGTAAGTGGACCAATCAGTGGATCATCTCTTTAGACTGGCCCCCCAAAACCAGTTTTTTGTGGTTTTGATTGTGGGGAGGGGGAACAGGATCCCTTTCTGTCATCCAGGCTGGAATACAGTGGCATGATCATAGCTCAGCCTGATCTCCTGGTCTCAAATGATACTCCCACCTCAAACTCCCAAGTACCTGGAATGACAGGCACATGCCACTGCAGCCAGCTAGTTTAAAAAAAAATTTTTGTAGAGACAGAGTCTCACAATGTTGCCCAGACTGGTCTCAAATTCCTGGGCTCAAGTGATCATCTTACAGGCCGTCCCAAAGTGCTGGGATTATAGGCATGAGACACCACTCCTGGCCCCAAAAATCAGTATTAATGGATGATCCGAGAAGGAGTCAAAGGACAGCTTTTATTCGCTCAACTACATTCAGATGACTATACTCAGAGAAAATAAGAATAAATAAACAAAAGCAACAGACATTCACCCAGAAATTTGCATATTGTCAAATTTACATAATCATGCAATAAAATATTAGTTTGGCTTTCACCAAAAACTGGATCAATTATTTGTACTGATATAGATACTAATGTACACTAAATACAATAGAAAGTTATGTATTAAGACATAACAGACTCACATTCATGGATTATGCATTGTATAAATGCTTCATTGTTAGAACCAAAGCTTCCCAGGAAAATAACGTCCAATTCCCTTTGCAATAAAATCCTACTTATATATATTAAGAAACTTCTCAGACCTTCATTCTCTTTTGCGTAACCTGAAAATAACTTTATTGTTTTCATTTTTCTGCATTCCTTGTGTGAATTTCCACTTAGCTGAATGAAACAAATAATTTACTTCTCAGTACATGTGAGGCAGCCAAATGTTATATAAAAGGAAAGACTATACATTTCTGATATCAAAGGCACTCAGGTTTTGGAAGTTATTTGTAAAAGTTTAAAAGAGGACAAAATAAGAAATTGTTACAAAATCAACCAAGTTCATTCAGTTCCAGCACATAATCACTTTTTAATGTCTGTTTTGCACTACGCATTGTGCTATGTTCAGAAAATTCAAAGATGAATACGATATATTCCCTCTAAAGGATATGTATTAGGGGATAAACTGACATGCGAAATAAACAGATCATTTCTACATAATGCACAAGCTCTATGATAGAGGCATCAGTTCAAATTATAAGTATCCAAACAAGGGAATTTAAAAAATCCACACACAACACATTTTCAATCAAACAAGAAGCAAGGGAGATATACAGTGTTTTGTTTTGTTTTGTTTTTTAATTCTTGTAATAGACTGAACAATGGCTTCCAAACTATCCATGTGCTAATGTCTGGAAGCTGTGAATATATTGCAGAGCGGAGTTAAGGTTGCAGATGAATCGAGGATGCCAATCAGATAACTCAAATTAGAGAAACTATCTTGAATTATCCAGGTAGGCCCGATGTAAACATCCTTAAAATCTTTAAAAACAAAAGAGAAGGACAGAAGGAGTCACAGTCAGGCAGAGGGTTATGACTACGAAAGAACGGCACAAAGAGAGGCAGCACTGCTGGCCCTCGAAATGGAGGAAAGGGCCACAAGCCAAGGAATGCAGGCAGCGTGGAGAAGCTGGAAACACCGTGGAGACAGGTTCCTCCTACAGCCCTCAGAAATGAATGTGGCCTGGACTTCTGTCCTCAAGGCCCATTGGATAACAGATGTGTGGCATTCTTTTGTTTTTGTTTTGTTTTTGAGACAGGGTCTCATTCTGTCACCCAGGCTAGAGGGCATTAGCGCAATCTCTGCTCACTGCAACCTCCACCTCCCAGGTTCAAGCGATTCTCCTGTCTCAGGCTCCCGAGTAGCTGGGATTACAGGTGTGCACCTCTACTCCTGGCTAATTTTTGTGTTTTTAGTAGAGACAGGGTTTCACCAAGTTGGCCAGGTCGGCCTCAAACTCCTGACCTCAAGTGATCTGCCCACTTCAGCCTCCCAAAGTGCTGGGATAACAGGCATGAGCCACTGCGCCTGGCCAGATGTGTGTTGTTTTTAAATACTAAACTTAGAGTAATTTATGACAGCAGCAGCAGGAAACCAACATAACACCCAAGAGTGATGAGACCTACAGGATTCTATTTAGCATCCTAAGAAGTTTTCTGAATTTAAAATTTCTAAGGTCATGATCTACTCTAAGTTCTTTTTCACCTTTTCATTGTGAGCTTTTGAAAGAAGCACAGAGAGCATGGGGAAGGGAAGGAGAAACTCATGCGCATGTCCTAAGTACTGAGTACTGAGATGGGCACCTTTCCCTAGACTATCTCACTGGATCCTCCCAGAAAGTCCTGGAAGGATGGTGTTATTATTCCACCTGCACAGATAAAGAAATGGAGACTCAGAATTAAAGATAAAATGCCAATGCACTCTTCTCAGACTGCAAAGCCCATGCTCAATGAACACACCAGGCTACTGCAAATAAAATCCTAGGCTCCAACACAACGTGGGCTCAGGGGCCTAGGGAAGACTACCATCCTGCCCAAAGGCCTCTTCAGTCTTTGGCTAGCATAGACAAAAGAGACTATTTTCTATTTAAATACCATATCTCATCAGTACCGGGATTCACCTTTGACATAGTTTGTGATATGGTTAGGCTTTGAATCCCCACACAAATCTCATCTTGAATGGTAATCCCCGTAATCCTCAGATGTCAAAGGAGAGATCCCGTGGAGGTGACTGAAGCACGGGCGTGATTTCTCTCATGCTGTTCTCATGATAGTGAGTGAGTTCTCATGCGATCTGATGGTTTTATAAGAAGCTCTTTCCCTCTTCACTCAGCACTTCTTCCTGCCAACTTGTGAAGAAGGTGCCTTGATTCCCCTTTGTCTTCTGCCATGATTGTAAGTTTCCTGAGGCCTCCCCAGCCATGCAAAACTGAGTCAATTAAATCTCTTTTCTTTATAAATTACCCAATCTCGGGCAAGTCTTCATAACAGTGTGAGAACAGATTAATACAGCTTGGATACTTGTCTCCCCAAATCTCATGTCGAAATGTCATCCCCAGTGTTGGAGGTGGGGCCTGGTGGGAGGTGACTGGATCATGGGGGTGGATTTCTCAGTGAATGCTTTGGCACCATCCTATTAGTTCTCGTGAGATCAGGTTGTTTAAATGTATGGCGACTCTCCCCCACTCTCTCTCACTCCTGGCCCTGTGAGGTGCCTACTCCCCCATGAGATGTGCGTGTGCCCCCTTTGCCTTCTGCTGTGATTGGAAGCTTCCTGAGGCTCTCACCAGAAGCAGATACCACTGCTATGCTTCCTGCAGAGTCTGCAGGACTGTGAGTCAATTAAACCTACTTTCTTTATCAATTACCTAGTCTCAGGTCTCAGGGTTGTTCGTTTGTTTTTGAGACGGAGTCTCATTCTGCCGCCAGGATGTAGTGCAGTAGCACGATCTCAGCTCACTGCAACCTTCGCCTACTGGATTCAAGCGATTCTCCTGCCTCAGCCTCCCGAGTAGCTGGGACTATAGGCATGTGCCACCACACCCAGTTAATTTTTGTTTTAGTAGAGATGGTGTCTCACCATGTTGCCCAGACTGGCTTTGATCTCTTGACCTTGTGATCTGCCCACCTTGGCCTCCCAAAGTACTGGGATTACAGGCATGAGCCACTGTAATATCCGGCCTCAGGTATTTCTTTATAGCAATACAATAACAGCTTAATACAGCCCTTTTTTCTGTCTCTCTCTCTTTCTCTATCTTTTTTTTTTTTTTTTTTGAGGAAGGGCCTCACACTGTCACCTAGGCTGGAGTGCAAGTGGTACAATCTCAGCTCACTGCAACCTCTGCCTCCTGGGCTCAAGCGGCCCACCTCAGCCTCCCAAGTAGCTGGGACTACAGGTGTGCATCACCATGTCTGGCTAATTTTTGTACTTTTCGTAGAGTGAGGACTTCACCATGTTGCCCAGACTGGTCTTGAACTCCGGGGCTCAACCAATCCACCTGCCTCAGCTCGGCCCCACAAAGTGCTGTGATTATAAGCATGCACCACTGTGCCTGGCTTAGTTTTTATTTTTAATTGAAATTACAAGGCCGGGCGCGGTGGCTCAAGCCTGTAATCCCAGCACTTTGGGAGGCCGAGGCGGGTGGATCACGAGGTCAAGAGATCGAGACCATCCT